ACATACTACAATGGGTGGAACATCGTGGGGCAGCTTAACTCCTTGTTTGGGTGAACTAAAGGAGGTCCTCATTTTGTCTGGGGAAAGCCCCAGGAGCTCCCCGAGTTCACAGGGATGGAATATCCTACCCTGTGGGGAGGGGCAGGGTGAGGATAAAGCCTACCTTCCCTTCCCAAGGGAGAGGGACAGACAGGCCCCTTCACACCTGGCCCCCCTGGAGGCGAAAGGAGTGCTTGCAGTTGGAGAAGACTGCAGGTCAGTCAGGAGAGAGAGGGGCCTAGGAAAGGGGTCCATAGACAAGCAGGCAGAGCCTTCGGAGCTCCCTGAGGGTCCACTGGGTGGGGCTGGGTCAGGCTCCTGAGGGAGGAAGTGGACTCAGTCACCCTGGGTCCAGGTGTCATAGGGCAGGACACACCCTTATTCTAGGCATGGACGGAGGTGGCACGTCAAGAGGGACTAGACCTGCCCACCTCTCCCGGGCTTTGGTCCTAGGAAGTGGGACCTGCTAGGCTCTGAGGAGACAGTGCCGGGAGAGGAGGACCAAGCCTGACAACACCGGGCCAGCCCTGCCTTGCAGCAGCCCAGCTCTGCAGCCTGGAAATTGCTATTCCTGGAGTCTTCACGACTGAAGGCTCCTGAGTTCCCCGAGCCCCTCCCTCACTGGGGCTTTGCCCCCGACCGCCCACCCTGCACGCTGCAGGAGGCAGACAGAGCCTGGATGGGACATCATGGCAGGGAGCATAGGATCACCTCAGGAAAATACAGAAACAGGGACTCTTCAAGACAGTACCACATACACACTCACAGGGGATCCTCACAGCCTCCAAGCAAGACAGAGGGGCAGATGACTCCAATCGACAGATGAGCAGTAGGGAGCCGCTAAGGAAGAGTGACTTCCCCAGGCAAATATGAGGGAACCCAGAAGTCTTCATCAGCTCAGGCCACCATAACCAAAAGCCACAGACTGGGGGCCTTAAACCGCAGACCTTGATTTTCTCCCAGTTCTGGAGGCTGGAGGTCTGAGATCAAGGTGCGGCAGGGTCGGTTTCTGGTGAGAGGTCTTTTCCCAACTCATAGGTAGGTGGCAGGCATCTCACTGTGTATGACCTCTTCTTTGTACAATGTGGGGGGCAGAGATGGTGGGAGAGAGAGCACAAGGGCAAGCGAGAGGTCTCTGGCTTCTCTTCTGATAAGGACCCTACTCCAATCCGATCAGGGCCTCATGACCTCATTTAACCTTAATTACCCCCTTGTAGGCCTTATCTCCAAATCCAGTCCCATTGGGGGTTAGGGCTTTGACATACAGACACTGGGGAGACCAAATATGGTCCGTGGCACCAGGTGCTCCATAACAGAGACTCAGAGAATATGGCTTATTTCACCACCGCCTCTGTTCAAAGTGTTCAAAGTGACAGTTCAATGCATTTGGAAAACCGCATCCACCCCGCGACTAAGCCAGCGCCCTGTCAAAACAGAGAACATTTCTATCTCCTCAGAAAGGAGCCACACCCTCCTTGCCAGTCGCTTCTACCTCCCTGGAGACTCTGCCACCCTCTGAAGTTCCTTCACCACAGGCCCATTTTGCCTGGTTTGGCATATTCCGTGCCAGTGGAATCACACAGTGCCACAGCCTGGTGTCTAATTTCTCTCGCTCGGCATCCTCTCTGTGAGACACACCCGTGTGGCTGCGAGGGTCTGCAGCCCGCTGGTTTTCACTTCTGTGTAGGATTGCCCCAGGGTAGGGGATTCACAGCAAGTCCCTCGTCCCTTCTCCTGCTGATGGGCACTTGGGCTGGTTCTGGTGTGGAGCCATTATGATAAAAGCTGGTGTGGATGTCCTTGAGGGAGTCTCTCTGTGGACGTGTGTGTTCCATTGTCCTGGGTAAATAAGTAGGAATGACAGGCTGGGCCACAAGGGAGGGAAGTGAACGATTTACTTAAGATGGCTCCACGCAGAATGTCCAAAGTGGTTGTGGCAATTCACACTCACATCACCAGTTCCTGGTGTGGGGACCATCCCAAGCCAGACACGAGGCAGAGAGAGGCCGGCCGCTTATCAGGCCGTGGCCTGAGTCCCACACCTGTACTGAGCACATTACGGAACATGCTGCAAGCAACCAGATCTGCGAAGGTCGGAGACTTGCTGACACTTACCCAGCCCAGTAGGAGCCTCAAGTCGGGGAAGCACGAGAACCGTGTTGGGGTGGCGCTCAGAAGGACCATGCCACCCGAAAGCAGCCAACTGCACCTGCGAGGTATCCGTGGGCAGGTGGACGCGGAGGCTGCTGGCAGCCAGGAAGAAGCTGTCCCCCAGGTAGGAGTGGCCAGTGAGGGAATGGCAGGTTCACAAAGGGAAGAAGGGGGCCTGCTTGGCTGCCCGAGAGCCTGTGGAGGGTTTGGGGCAGGGCTGGGAGCGCCCAGAGGTGGGGGCGGAGGAAGAGGACCACTGAGCAGTCAGAGCAGGCTGCAGCTGGTGGGGAGCTGGTCTGAGGCCAAAATTTAGGAAGTGTGGGTGGACACTGCCTGGTGAGAAGGTAGGGGAGAGCTCCAGGCTCTCCCTAGAGGAGACAAGAGGGGCGCGTCGAGCTGCGCAGAGCTTGGGCCCTCGGCAATTGTGGGGCACAGAAGCCCCTCCCGGGCTGTGAGCCGACGACTCTCCCACTCAACCCTCAGAGGCTGAGGGACATCTCCCAGGTCACCCAGCTGGCAGGCGGCCAAATGGAAAGAAACACTGAGACCCTCTCTGCTGCCACACTTGCCGGGTTTCTGTGAGCTTAGCTAGGCTGGCCGTCCCCTGGACTTCATTCCCAACAGTAAGGTGTGTGGTGGAGGGGGTAAGTTATGGGAGGACCCTGTCATCTAGTGGCCTGGAGCCTGTGTGAATCTGTGTCTATTCCTCCCTTGCTCAACATCCGCTGGGCACTGGCTCTGTGCAGGGCCCGCTGCTGGCAATCGGGGGAACAAGCCCAAAGACAGAAGACCCCGGAGGCTGAACCAAGCCAGTGGCATAATGACAAGAGCAGACAGTCTCGGCCCTCAGCAGTGGGAGGGCGGGGAGTGCACGCACCCATGAGGCCAACTGGGAAAGATGGTTTCTGAGAGAACACCCGTGTTTCTTCATTTTCCCAGCACTTACCACCTGCGAGATAGGAAAGCTGGGAGAGTAAGGCCACGAGGGCAAGCCAAGGTCCAGCTATAAGGCCAACTCCAAGGTGGCCTGCTTCTGGGTGATGGGTGAGTGTAAAACAAATGAGAGTGCCTTCAACCTTGATGCCAGGAACTTTCTCCCAGAAACAGGCCAACAACGCTTCTCCGTGGTGGGGAGGAAATGAGCAAAGGCGATTCACAGAAGAGCACCCGGGCACGGTTGGCAAACTTCTGAGAAGATACGTTTTCTCACCGCCAACTGGGGAAAGGCAAGGTGTACAGTAATGAGGCACTGCTTTTCCTTGTGCAGTGTGCAAATGGTCAAGGCTGGACAAGACCCAAGGCTGCTCAGGCTGTGGGGTCCACAGGACCGCTCTCACGCTGCTGGTTCAGCCGCTCATGGGAGGTAACGGATTAGCAACACCCCGTCGTGGGCACAGCCCAAGTCCCAGCAAAACCACTTCTGAGCTGACAGCGGCTCAGACAGGCATGTGCAGGGTGCTGGTGGCAGCAGTGTCTGTAACAGCCAAAGACCAGGAACAGCCTGAATGCCCATCCTTGGGGTCATGCACAAATAAACCAGGGCTGCGATTCAACCAGGAGCTGGACACTCGGAGAAGTCTTGACCAGTAAACCTTGAGTAGGAAAAGCAAATCGCAGAAGAAGATGGTTGGCCGGATGCCAGGCAAGAAAAGAGAAGGGGGGAGGGGCAGCAACGACATCCGGAGGTGTGACCCCTAGAGGAACTCCCTGCCACCCGAGCAGTGGAGAGCTTGTCTGCATGGACCCAGACTCCCGTGAAGGGACAGGTGCAGAGTGGCGAAACCCACAGGGACTTGACCTTTGTTTCCAGCAGAGGCAGGACTGCCCTGGTGCACCATCTAGCCTAGGTGGCAAAGGAAAGGGGAAGGACCTAGGGAAGAAGGCTGACTCAGGGCCAGAGAGCCGGAGGTCTCTGGGGAGGTGCAACACCCATGCTGCCCTGAGGGGCCAAGAGAGCAATGTCCCAGAGCCCACTAGGCTGGTGAGGGCAAGGCACATATTGAGTACCCAACTCCCAGCACAGCAGCTCTCTGGTACACACCCTCGGGTGGAGACCCCAATTCTGTCCTTCCGCTAAGGCGCGGAGAAGGGGCAAGGACTTGCCCAAGGAAACAGAGTAAGACACAGGCGCTAGGAGTTGAGCTCTAAGTAGCAGAAGCCCACTATTGGGATTTGAACTTGGCAGCGAGCAAAACCGTGGCACCCTCCTGGGAACTGGCTACTGGCACTGGGGTGGCGGAGTGCCTCGGCCCGTCGTGCACCCACAGCGGCTGAAGCCTGCGGCTCCCGGCCTCCCGGGCGAGCGGGGAGGGCAGCGTGTGGACCGCAGACCCTCCGATGGGGCGGTGTGTGTGTGAACGCCCGTATGCGCCTGTGGCATCTACTCTGAGGAATCACACCTGGGCTGGGCGAGGTGCTCCTCGCCTAGCCTGGAGACAGGACCAGTCCTGGGAGGGGAGGGGGAGGGGGAGAACTGGTAAAGGAGCCCCAGAGGGCCACCCCCACGCCGCTGCTCCCCATTCCTTGTCGGAACGCAGTGTCCGCGGGCGCACCTCAGGGCCATCCAGCCGCTCTCCGGCGGGCACCCGGGGGTGTGCAGCCCTCCCCACGCCGGCGCCCCGAGGGCTCGTTCCGGGAGGGGCGGGAGACTGGGCTGGGTCCCGGGTGGGGACGCCGACCCCCGGACCCTGAGGGTCCCCACCGGTGCCGGCGCCCCGTCAGGGGCGGGGGAAGGAACAGGTGACGTCACCCGCGGTCCCGGGGCGTTCGCGGCGGTGGCGACAGCCCGGCCGCGTGACCCGCGCGCGCCAATGGCCCGGCCATCACCGGGGCGCCGCGGCGGGTCCGCGCTCGGCTACCACTGTGCCCCCGCCCCGAGTGAGTCCGCACTGCAGAGAGCGGTGGCGGGCGGGCAGGCAGGCGGTGGCGCGCTGGCCCACGTGCGGCGCTGAGAGAGGGACAGGGACAGGGAGAGAGAGAGCCGGGGAAAGAGGGGCGCCCGACCCCGTCGCCGCTCAGCGCAGCCTCGCGCCCCTCCTGCTGGGACCTCGGCCAGGAAAGACCCCGACCCGAAGAAGGTACCAGACCCGGGGTGGTGCGTTTGGCTCCGGGAGACCCTGCCATCTTCCGCTATCCCCAGCAGGACAGCGGCAGCCCGCGGGGCCGTAGGCGGGGGTGGGGGGGGGAGGGGGGAGCGGGGGGGGCGGCGTGGGGAGCGGGCTGTGGCCCCTGCGGGCAGGTGGAGAGCGGGGCGGGGGTCAAGCCTGGACCGCAGAGGCAGCACGGGGGAGAGGAGGGGCAGCACGTGGTGGGGGTGGGGTGAGGGGGGGGCGGGTCGGCCTTAACCTCACTCTTGTCCTGTTCGTGTTCACAGGCTGTGGAGACCTGGGCGGTTCTCTCTGAGTCCTAGACCCCCGCCCCAATTCATTCCCGTTCCCCCACTCCCCAGGGCCAGCCACCCTGGTCTGCACCGGGAAAAGTTTCCGACCCCTAGCATTAGCCCCGCACCGGAGGAAACTGCGGGCGGTGGCGGTGACGATGCTGCAGGACCGGTGCAGGTGGATGTGCGTCAGCGCTCGCAGGGCCCTGCTCATCCTGGGCATCCTGGAACACCGTGATGAAGCCGAACTCCAAGAGTCCCTGGAGGCCGCCCTGTGGCCGGTGGGCCACGTTACCGTGCTGGGCGAAGTGTTTCGAGAGGAGGAGAATGCCACTGAGGCCCTGGTCGAGCTTCACCGGAAAGTCGATTATGCTTTGGTCCCCAGGGAAATCCCAAGCGCTAGAGGTCCCTGGAACATGGTCTTTGTGCCCCGATGCTCAGGAGAGGAGTTTCTAGGTGGCGCGTTCCCCTTCCTGTGGCAACAGGGGCAGACGGTGGAGAGTGTGGCCGGTGCCCTGGGGCTGAGGCTGGGGCTGAGGCTTGGGCTGCGCAGGGTGGGCTGGCTCCCATCCATCAGTCAGGCGGTCCAGCCTTGGGTGAAGACCCTGCGGTACCAGCGCCTGGGCGTGTTTTCCGGGAGGGACCAGCCGGACCCCGGGGAGGAATCCTGTGAGGCCTGGCTAAACCTACCTCTGACATGCTGCATGTGCGGCGTGGGCTTTTGGAAAGGGAGAGGAGGAGGAGGAGGCTAATGGAAGGCCTGCGAGGGATGGCCCTGCAGTTCGTGCACAGGATCCTGGTGGAGAACCCTGCCAGGACCGCACAGGACTGCCTGGCGGCTTTGATCCAGGTGTTTGGAGACAACGAGTCCCAGGCGACCATCCGGGTGAAGTGTTTGCTCAACAGCAGTCAGGTGAGTGCCTCTCTGCTTTTGTGTTGCGGATGGAAGCCCTGCTGCACAAAGCCATCAAGAGAGGGACCCTGACCAGAGCCTCAGCTGACCGTGTGCCCCTGAGGCAGGTGCTCACTGGGGCCAGCCACACTGAGCCCCTGGATGAAGCACTGAGCAAAGCTGAGAGTGGTTGGGAGGCCTCCACGTCTCATGGAGATGCTGAGAAGCGTCTGAGAGTCTGAGGCGTGGGAAGCCAGTCTAGCCAGGAGCAAGAGAGCCCAGGCAGGGGAAGGGGCTGCTGCCCGGGCCAATGCCCAGGCTGATGCCAGAGCCAGAGCTAAGGCAGAGGATGACAGTGTGGAGGAGGAACAGGGGGAGGTGCACGTCGACGACAAGGACCCCACACCTGCGCGCCCAGGTCAGGCGGGACCCTCAGAGGCCCCCAGAGGCCCCACTGCTACCTGGATGGGCAGGGCTTCCCCGGCGGGCCCAGGAGGTCCGGGCTGGGAGCCCGAGGAGGGGCTCAAGTCCATCCCAGACGAGCCAGGAAATGAGGACGGGGCTGCGGAGAGAAGCAACTCCAAGTCCTCATGTGGCCAATAGGTTCAGCAGGCCCCGGGGGGCCCCCGGGCCCGGAGGCAGGAGGAGGCCAGGCCAGGCAGCCTTCTGGCCCCACACGGGGAGCAGGGTGGAGGCAAGGGCCAGCCCAGCCCAGCTCAGCCCAGACCAAGCCCCTGGGTCCCCCCCACCACCCCCAAGGGGCCGTGACCACCACCATCAGTCCTTCCAAGTGATCAAGATGACCATGTTTGACACCAAACTAGGCAGGGAGAGATGCCCCCCTGCTTTGCCACGGCAGCACCACATCCAGCCCCTGCTCCAAAGCCTGCCAGCTCAGGCGGCTGACCTGGGAGCAGCCCTGAGTGACCAGCTCTCACCTGGGTGAGGGGCACCTGCAGATGGCTGCCACCCACACTGCACTGGGAGATGTTACGGGGAACCTCAAGGTGCCTGGGCCTCCCTCCTAAGAGGGGACCCCTATTCATCATCCCCTGGGGCAGGTTGCTCCCTGTACTGGCAAGCCCAAATGTGTCCCTGTAGGCCCCAGAGGGACCCAGGTGTCAAGGAACCCCCCAGCCCCCGCTCCCCTCCCCCCAACACACACACCCTAGCCATCGTCCCCCCGCAGAGCCCTGAGGTGCGCCACGTGCCAGCCAAGGCTCTGGTCTCTGTGGGCCAGTGTCGTGAGCTCAACGTGTGCTTTCTGGGCATAGATTCAGGCCCAGCGCTGCCTGTTGTTGTGGAAATGTGCATGTGTTCTCCTCTGAGCAGTTCCCCCAACCCCTGTGCGGCGTGGAGACCCCGAGCCCAGTCCCAGGAGCCAGCGGGAAGGACGGGATGGACGAGGTCACAGCCAGCGCCCACCCCAGGACCTGGGAGCCCACCTGCGACCTTGGGAAGGAAGACCTGGACCGGGATGGCAGGAGGTCTGCAGGAGACTTTCTGACACCAGCAGGTAACCCCTTTATCTTGGCATGGAAGGAGAATGATTTAACAGCCTCTCAATAGTACGTTCTAATTAAGTAAGGCATGTTCAGGTCTGTGTTCTCCTTCTCTGATATAGGAAATATCTGGACTTAAAGGTAATCTTTAATTTAACATTTTTGTCTGCTTTTAATATTTTTATTAAAACATTATCGAAAAGCCTCTCCTTCTGTGTCCCGAATAAAGCAAAAGAAATCTATTCTTGTCACCAGATGACCACAACTTCTGGTCCGAAAAGTGACCACAGGCTTCAGAGCCTTGGTACTCCAAGCGTAGTCAGGGATCTGCAGCATGGGAGCCACCTAGCTTTCGAGAAACGCAGAACCTCAGTCCCACCCCAGTCCTCCTGAATCAGAACTTTCATTTTTACCAAGACCTACCAGATTTGCAGACTTCCAGTGCGATAACCTGAGCTCCCCCCACGCCGTTCTCTGGAACAGCGAGTTAAGAGTCCCGCGGGCCCCAAGGAAAATGTTCCAGTCTTCCTTCTGTGGAAGAAATTTTCTTTGGAAAAGGGCGGGAAGCAGTTTGGGTACTAGGTGGGTAGTACTAGGTGGGTAGTACTAGGCTGTGAAGTCAAGGGAATAATGGGAGAATGTAATCCTTTGAAAGTTTTCGGTCTCTTGGTGAATACGAAAAATTGTCCTGCCCTTGCATTTTTCCCGGAAGCAGCTGTATTTCTGCTGTCCGCCTCTAGAAAACACAACAATTAAAAAAAAAAAACGATCAGGATTTCATTTAGTAAGCACCCACCGGGCCTTTACTTTTGCACCCAGCCCTGCGCTTACCTCTTGGAATATTCAAACAGGGAGAGCGACTGGTGACTCTCACGCCACAGCTCCCGCTCAATGGGGAACAGACATGCTAAACAAGAGCCAAGATGGCTGCTGGGCCTGGCGTGGCACGTGGTGGGTCTGGCGACCTCCTTCCAGGGACCAGCCTAGGAATTGCAGGGGACCCTATTGCACACCTAACCCCGCTCACAGTCCAAGGCTGGATTCTGTCCAGCTCTGCAGTTTAAGGTGCCCCGGTTTAATTCGAACTCCGTCCGCCTAGTTGCGCACACTGGCGCAGGGCGGGGCGAGGTCTCCCCCTTCCGAGGGGAAATGGTGGGCGCCACGCTGCTAGGGCGCAGCCGCGAGTGGGCCGTGTGCAGCTCTGCTGGGCGGGAAGCGGGGGCAGGGGGGTGGGGAGTTTGTAGCCCGACAGCCCCTTTCCACGGGCTTCCGGCCCAGTGTGCACCGCGCGAGCCGTGGTTCCGGACGGGTGGTGGTCGTGGTGTACAGGCGCTTCGGCCTGTAGGCACCTCCAGCAGGTACTGGTCGGGACCCGGGCACAGAGAGCCATCCAAACCGCGTGGGGTTCTGCACAATGACCCTTGCCATCTCCCTTGGCGTCCCAGGGGTTGGTGGCTACAGGTTTCCCCTGGAAATGGGATCCCACTACACCAGGCATTGGCACCGCATCCATTCCGTGCCATTTCCAGGCACCGCGACCAGCCTAGGAATTGCAGGGGAACCTATTCCACACCTAACCTTGCTCACAGCCATTGCGGTCAGGACTAGTGGCTCTGGGCCTTATCCTAGAGGGAAAGTGCCTTCAGCCCTTCCTCCCCTGGCCTCCACCAACTTCCACTGACCACGTGTATTCCTGATCTGGAATGAGGGACGTTTGAGGTAGCGGGTGAGGGGTCGTGGGGACTTAGGGAGGAGGGCTTAGGTGTGGGTGGGGACAACAGGGGAATGAGGGCGGGAGGCTTGGGGACAGTAGTTGGACTTGAGTGAGGCCAGGGCTTGGGACAGGGATGATGCTTGGGAAGGGGTGGGACATGGCTTGAGTGGGGGCAGGGATTTGGCTTGGGTGGGGGCAGGGCTTTGTTAGGGATCGGACTTGAGTGGGGGATGGGACATGGGAAGGGGTGGGGCTTGGTGGGGGCAGGGATCGGACTTCCTTAAGCGTGGGGCTAGGCGTCAGGGGCTGGGCTTAGGTGGGGGTGGCGCTTGGGTGGGGGTGGGACTTGGAGGGGGGACAGGGATCAAACTTCCGTGAGGGGAGGCTTGGCGTCAGGGGTGGGGCTTAAGTCCTCAGTCCTGCGTCAGTGGGGGCAGAGTTTGAGGGAGGGGGTGGATTGGAGGGTGGGGCAATAATCATACTGTAGGATCCTTCCCGTACTAGCACTGTATACCAGTTGAGAAGTTTCTCTTCTTTTTTTTTTTGAATTTTTGAATTTTATTTTTTTTTACAGCAGGTTCTTATTAGTCATCCATTTTATACACATCAGCGTATACATGTCAATCCCAATGGCCCAGTTCATCACACCACCACCCCCCGCCCCCTGAGCAGTTTCCTGTATCCCTGTACCAGAGTGCCTCTGTAGGCTCAGAATGGGCACAGCCTGAGCAGGGCCGTGTGGGGTGGAACCGTAGCACAGCACCTCTGCCTCGCCTTGGACAGATGCAGTGAGGCAGTACCACCTCCCCAGCACCGGGAGCTGCCTCTGGGCAGAGCTAGAGGGCAGGCCTAGTGTTGCGTGTGGGTGGAATCCCCGTATCTGCACTGCCGGTGGGTCCCTAGTCAGCATGGTGAACAGCTGTGACGTAGACGTATGTCGGGAGAGGCTTCTGTAACTTCCTGGCAAAAAGCTGGAGGGGTGGGGTTGCCTGCCAGGGTTTCCAGGGTCTACAGGGTGGGGTCACACCTAGGGTGAGGGTTGTCTGTTTCAGCAGTGCGGCACTGTAGACCCTTTTTGGGTCCCTTTTCTGTCCTTGATTCTAGCTTCCACACAGTTTGAAATGGTAGGCTACTGTTTTTCAGCACGTGATCCTTGCCGCCCACCCCCCATGTCCCCACCCCTCCAGCGACGACAGGACACTTCTTTGGTTGGAGGCCAGTGACATCCCCTGTTGCTCCTTAACCTTTACCACATAGCACCCCTCTGCGATGGAAACCCATGGTCCCCGCCATTCTCAGTATCCACGGCGACACTGCAGCTTGTCACACGTTCTCCACACCCACCAGTTTCATTGCCTTGTGCAGAGAGAGCTCCAACCATCTTTCTCATTTGTCAGACATTCTCTGAGAAAGGAGGGAACTCACATCTCCGTCCTCCAACCTTTGCCCCAGAGAAGTGGGTACCGGGTGCCCTGGGCCTGAACAGCCCTGAGGCAGGGAGTGGGACAGCCTGCTGTCCTCTCCCGTTTGGCGGGCTTTGTCAGGCCCCTCCTCCTGACGCTGACCTTTTCACCACAGGCACCTGCAGTACACACAGAGGAGTCCTTGGACTTTGAGGAGGAGTGCACGGCAAGCCGAGGTCAGCAGGGAGGGGAGCTTGGCCTAAAGACACGTCTCCAGCAAATGACTGGGGAAGCCCTGAAAAGCAGGGCCTGGATCTCTGTGACCAGAAGTGGGGGTAGTGCGTGGGCTTTTAGTCGGGGTGGGAGGGTGCGCGTGAATGATGCTGTCACCCCATTTGCATTATAGGCTGTGCAAACCCGGAACGATTCTGCCTCCATACTCGGCGTTGGCTCAGAATTCCCTGAGTCCCGCTCAAACTCTGTGAGCTGCCTACTGCCCCTAGTGTTAGATCAGTCCATAGACAGTGGGAGCAATGCCTGTGAATCTGTTGGAGGATTGGTGCAAGGGCATGGACCTGGACCCCAGGAAGGCCCTGCTGATCGTGGGCGTCCCTGTGGAGTGTAGTGAAGAGGAAATTAAAGAGACCCTGAAGGCGGGCTTACAGCCCCTGTGTGCCTACAGGGTGCTGGGCAGAATGTTCAGAAGGGAAGACAGCTCTAAGGCAGTTCTCATTGGATTGGCCGCCCAGGTCAATTACGCTACGGTGCCGAGTCAGATCCCAGGAAAGGGAGGTACCTGGGAAGTGGTGGTGAAGCCCCGTAGCCCAGATGATGAACTTATCAACAGACTGAACCACTTCCTGAAAGCTGAGGGCCGGAGAATGGTAGATGTGGTCAAAACCCTGGGGTATAGCACTCGCCCCGAGGAGGGACAGCCAAAAGGCTTGGCCCAAGTCAGGCCGCCAGACCCGCAGCCTCTGCAAGAAAGCATGTGGTACCGAAAACTGAAGGTGTTTTCGGGAAGCACTTCCCCAGGCCCGGGCGAAGAGAACTTTGAAGCCTGGCTAGAGCAGGTGACGCAGATGATGCGGATGTGGCGGGTGTCTGAGGTAGAGAAGCAGCGGCGTTTGCTGGAAAGCTTGCGCGGCCCCGCCCTGTCCATCGTGCGGATGCTCCGGGCCAACAGTGACTCCATGACCGTGGCGCAGTGCCTGGACGCCCTGAAGCAGATCTTCGGGAATAAAGAGAACTATAGAACCGCACGCTTTCAGTTGCTCCAGACCTTGCAGAAGCCCGGAGAGAAAGTCTCTGCCTTCTTGCTGCGGCTAGAGCCCGTGCTGCAGAACGCTGTGCGGCACAGCCCCTTGCCAGTGAGAAGCGCAGACATGATTCGCCTGAAATACATCCTAGCCCAGGCCCACGTGAGCACCAGCCTCCGGGACAAGCTCATGGTCTTGGATCAACGAGGCTGTGCGCCCCCCTTCCTGGAGTTGATGCAGCTCGTTCGAGACGTGGAGGAGTGGCAGACCGCCGCGGCAGTGACCAGGGAGAAGCAGAGGCAGGTAGGAGGGGGCCACAGGGCCTCTGGCACCCAGGTAGTGGCAGAAACCAGTGTCCCGGTCCGTCCGGTCATGGTGCGGGCAGGGCAGTTCCATGACAGCAGCACTCAGACCGTCCAGGAAGGGGCTACCCTGTCACTGAAGCGCAAGCAGGTGCCACGCTGCTGCGAGACTGGGGAGGAAGGCCACAGCCAGGCCGCGTGTCCTAGGGCCGAGGACCAGCCCCCGGCAAAGCAGGCGCCTCAGCCCGCAGCAGAAGAGTCAGGAAACGAGATGCGGGCTGGAGCCAGGAGCCACCCCAGGCCCCAGGAAGCATAGGCTCAAGGTATCCAGGCAACCCCTCCCCTAGCAGGCAACACAGATATTTCAACGAGGGGAAGGGGCAGCCCACAGAAAGAGTGGGGGCCTTGACTGGGGCACAGGGGCAGGGCAGCCAGGCCGAGGCCCCGCCCCAGCCCCCGCAGCGTCCACCAGCTGTTAGGGACTCCACCAAGCAAGCCGAAATCAGCTCAGGGAGGCACCGGCGGCACAAGCGGGAAGCCGCCATACGCAGCACGACGCGTACCCGAGCCTCAGACACAGACCCCAGCACAGCAGAGGCTGAAAAAGGTATAGTCGGGGGCTCTGGCGTCAGCCCTGTCTTCTGGCCACCCTCAAACGCCCACCCTGGGGGCTCTGAGCTAAGGGTGTTGACAGGCCCCCAGGCCACGCGGGGCCTAGAGGCGCCTCCCCCGGGGCCGCCCCTGCCAGAAGGAGCCGGCGCTGGCGAGGAAGGGCTGTGGGGCAGAGAGGAGATGCCCCGGAGGGACACCGCAGGGTCCAACTTCACGATCATCTACAGCGCTCGAGGGGAGCCCCGGGAAGGCAGCACCCTGGAGCCTCTGCGCGGGTTAGGGCAGGAGCAAGTCTCCTGCCCCTGCAGCCTGAAAGGGCAGTAGGGGCAAGGACAGCAGACACTGAGGAGACGACCCCACGCGAGAGCGTCAGGTCAGCTTGGCAGGCAGGGCGCTGAGTCCCTGGTTGCCCAGTACCCCACAACTGGCTTTGGTGTGAGTGGGGGTGCAGGGAAGCGTTTGTTCCAAAGGAGGAGGAGACGGAGGAGGGGGGCCCGGGAAAAGGGGGGGGGGGGGAGGGGCGGGAGGGGGAGGGGGTCCGGGCAGGGTCCAAGAGAATTAGTTGGCGGGAGGAAGGAGTGTTTTGTTCTCCCTAGGTTTGTGCATGGCCACTGGAGACGTGGGACTGGCCTGGAGAACCACAGCTCACAGCTGCCAATGCCAAGGCCAGCCCCAAAGCCTGCCACCTGGGAGCAGCCCTGAGTGGCCAGCCCCGGCCTGGGTGAGGGGCAGCTGCAGATGGCTGCCACCCACACTGGCCTAGGAGTCGTTAGGGGCCACTCCAGGTGCCTGGGCCTCCCTCCTGAGAGGGGACCC